TATATATAAGAAGAGAAACAAAAAAAAGGAGTTAACCCCAGGCACCAAACCATTATTATATGTGCAACTAGTAGCGTTGTATTGTTTTTTTCTTCCGAATAACTCATCACTGCCTTCTCTTCAATCAAAAAAATGATGGACCTTGAATTTTAAAGACTCGGTCAAAAGTTGAGTTAAACCTTTGAACCCATTGTTGACTAAGGTCCTTACCAGAGAGCTGCTCCCCAAGAACTGGGTATTTTACCTGTGCTCCTGCACATGGACCAGCAAACTGGGGTAGCCTCAGTAAAACGCTTGTAGCTCTGTTATTTTAGGATTGAACCCTCATTAAGTATATTATAAGGACATTCATTTTATTTCAACATCGACCTCAATCTACAGTCAGTTTTTTTAGGTTTTTCCTTTATCCTTGGTCATTGTCAAAACGATGGTGTTTGGTTGTGTTGAGTACATGTCGCCGGGCAGTGGCGCAGAATCGTAATTTGGTTTTGCAAATTTTACTGGAGGAAAAGAACCCTGATTTTTCGCCACAATATCCATAACGTGTACTATACCATAGCAGGGAATTTTACCAATGTCCACTTAAAAAAAATATTTGTACGACTCGGGTGTTCACAGGGCATACCTCCCTTCCCAGTATCCTTGGAAACTTCAAAAAATAATTTTTGCCACAAGCTTTGAGTTACGTTCTGAGCTGCTGCCGCGGGATGTTTGTTCCAACAGGAGTCAATCAAGACCTATTTCATTTCTCACTGTCCTCATGTTATGTAAGTGAAGGATAAAACAAAAGTACATTATATCTATTACTATTACCCTCCAGAAGTTGAAGGTGAATAAGCTGGCCTTAACTTACAGCATGAAGATGGTTAGAATACTGTTGCTCTCCCAAGAAAAATAATCACCCTTATTTATTTATTTTATTTTTTTTTGCTTCCTCCATGATACGGGGTGAAATACTGTTACTGTTCGGTCAGTCAATTTAGACGTGATAGCGATGGTATAAACTGTAACTGATGCTTTTATCTATTTAGAATTTATATTTAATAAGGATTATTTCAAAAGTGAAGACCTTCGAAATGACAATTATTGGGGGCTCTCAATCCCGACTTTGGTAAGTTCACAAGACAGTCACAACGTCCCCAGTCGTCTGTTACTTCTCCGCCATTGAATTGATCTACAGCTGGTGCTGTGTAAACTCCTGGCTCTGTGCACCGTCACAGCACAGTCTGTGCTAGCAATACTGTGGGGCCGTCATGCTAGTGTTCTTAACGTATGCCAAAGTCACTAGGGCAGTGTTTACAGCATGTGCAAAAATCACTATGTGCAAAAATTACTATGGTAGTGGTTATGGCATGAAAGCTTGCGCCCAAACCACTACGATAGTCTTTAGTGCACGGTGGTGTTACTTAACTATGGTAGTGGTTATGGCACTACTGTAGTCTTTATTGCACGGAAGGCCTAGTGTTACTAAGGTAGTGGTTATGGCATGAAAAGCTTACGCCAAAACCACTACTGTAGTCTTTATTGTGGTAGTGGTTATGGCACTACGGTAGTCTTTATTGCACGGTAGTGTTATTATGGTAGTGGTTATGGCACTACGGTAGTCTTTATTGCACGGTAGTGTTACTTAACTATGGTAGTGGTTATGGCATGAAAAGCTTACTCCAAAACCACTACGATAGTCTTTAGTGCACGGTGGTGTTACTATGGTAGTGGTTATGGCACTACTGTAGTCTTTATTGCACGGCAGTGTTACTATGGTAGTGGTTATGGCACTACGGTAGTCTTTATTGCACAGTAGTGTTCTGAGCGTGTTACACCTGTACAGAAATATTTTTAAAAAACTCAGCAGTGATGTTGGTTGTCTGTCTCATTTTTTTCTTTGTAAATAGAGAGTTTTTTCTTTGTTGAAACTGATCCATTGTACAGCATATTATAATATATATATAC